GTAAGAAATATGTATTGCTTTAATAATCAGAAAATTGCTTTCTAAAAGCATCCAACTAAGTGCATGATGGTGTTAAGGTTCATATGAATCCTTTTGGCTTTTTAAAAGCTCTTGAGAAAAATAACATTATCGATTTTAAGAAGAAAATGGAACTTCAGTTCTCCAGGCTGTTCAGTTCTTATGCTCTAGAGTCGATTTTTGGAGCAATCAGGGGATGAAGCCACAGGTGGAGCCCATCATTGTTGCCTTCACCCATTAAGACATTTGCCTAAACTCAACTCTTTGAATAGTAGACTAAACTGTGTACACATAATGTGTTCATTCATTAACTCATTCATGTATTCATTCAGAGCTGTTTACTGAGTACTTACAGTGCTTAGGACTGTACTAAGGTCTAAGAGATAGATGAATGGAAAACTCCTCTTGCTCTCTAAAAGGTCACAGCTTAATGTACTTTCACAGGCACATGACTCATGCCAAAATTTGGGGGAAGTTGTCAAAAGTAATGTAAATTTCTGCCTTCTTGTTGCTTCAACAGTTTAAATATTTCTCCTGATTTTTTGACTTCTCACCTGTGCAATATCTATTACTTGAGAACTGTCCTGTCCAATACAGTAGTCATGAGGCACACGCAGTTATTTCAAAATTAAATTAATAATAAAATTTAAAATTCAGTTTCTCTGTCACACTAGTCACATTTCAAGTCCTTATTGGACTGTGTGGCTGGCGGTGACCACCTCTGGCAGGGCAGATGGAGACTATTTCCATCATCACAGAAAGTTGCATCAGACAGTGCTCCCCTAAGAGGGATTAGGTCACCCTTGTTTCCCACCAGCTCCACTCCACATCCTCACCAAGTTCTTCTTAGACTGGTATGGTCGCCCCCCAAGTGAATGCCAGGAACTTCTTTCATCATTGATCCTGTCTGTCCTCATCAGACAGACAATCTGTAAAGAACCGTGATGAACTGTGGCTTCCCAGTTTAAAAATATTGGTTGACCTATCTCTTGACTTCCAGATGAAATCCAGACTCTTTAGGCAAGCCCCGTAACCCATCCTCCACCTCTCTTTCAGGCCTTATCTATGATGTCAGCTAGTTGCAACCATCCCCCATCTCCCAAGCTCCCTCTGCTCTTTCTTGCTTCTGAGTTACCCTTCATGCTAACCCAGCTGTCAGAAATGTCATTTTCCCTCTTTGCCCAGACTAGGAATCACTTCAAATGCCACCTCTGCCCTGAGTCTGTCTTTCATCTCCAGTCAGCAGTCACCCTGTCTCCTTCCTTGCTTATGGCTCAAAGTTTGTAACACCTACATGGCATTATTGCATAAGAGATTGCATTGTGTTTCTTGCTCATCTTCTTGACTGTAAAGTTTTAGAAGAGTTTAAACGTGCCATGGTAGGACTCATGGATTTTTGTTGACTAAATTTAGAGGCACACAGCAGTCACTATGTTTATTTTAATTGCACTATGCATTAAATACCAGCCAGGCCCTTAATCCTCATGAAGTTTGAGTTGATTGTCCATTTTAGAAAGCTAATAATTTGCTCACATGCCTGATGTAATTGGATGGACTGGAATTTAACCCTGATCTTTTTTGCAGGACTTGCAGGAAAATCGGGGTCCATTAAATACAGAGGAAGATCACAATAACAATGGAAAAAATTCTGGAAAGCAAATACTTAGGAATGAGTAACGACAAGCTGGATGTTTAGCAGCTGCCCTCTCCAGCTTTAGTTTCCAAATTAAATGAATAATTAAAGCTTCTTGGAGGCTTTGTGGTGTTATTGTTTTAACTGTTGGTGTTATCAGTTCACACAGCGTAGTTGCAAGTTTGTGGCAGATGCTGAGCTTTTCGGCTAATTACACGGTCACAGATGTGGCTGTAATTCCAGCATTAGCGTCTCCTTATTTGCAGGAGTTGCATCCTTTCCCTAAACTCTCCAGCAAAGCAGTATTCGCTGCATCCGCATCCAGCATCATTTTTTCCCAGAGTGGAGGTGGAGTAAACCCAGCAACTGATACACCTGAGAAATACCGTACCACTGACAAAACTAGAATTGTCTCTCTTTGGGGCATTTTATAAGCCTGATTCATGCATCCACCTTTTAGAGACTATGATTTTGTCCACCTTGCTTTGTTCACCTATAAGGCTTTTATGGACTTATTTCCTTCTTGGTTTGTACTTTTATTGCAGCTCTGTTCTCTCTATTCAGGACATTAAAAAAAAAAAAAGCCTAAGCAGTTCCTGCATCTTTGGGCATCACTGAATAGGAAGGAGAGAGAGAAAAGGAGAGTCCACATTCCCCACAGGATCCTCTTCCTTCCATTATTTTATTTATTTCATTTTTTGTTAGCTATTTATTATTCCTTTATTTGTTGTCACCTACTTTCCAACTTCTGGTACAGGAACAGCAGTTTGGATTTTATTTAAATTGATGTCTGCTTTTAATTTCAAGTCTGTTACCTCTTCTTGTTTATGTGGACTGTGTTTTTGTTTTGTTTTGTTTGTGAATTCTAGATAGAAGTCGGTCATTTACTCCAGCTCTCCAGAAGTTGCAGAGAAAATCAGGATCAGTCATTCAGAAAGCCATAACAGATTTCTCTATTCCTTCAATGTATCTCTTAAAAGAGTCATGATTATGAAAAGTCATGGATAAATCATATATAAGCATATTTAAGATGACTAGGGAGCTGACAGATCATCAGGTTTAACCCTTTTGAAGAAACTTCAGTTTAGGGAACTAACGTACCTGTCCAAGGTCCTGGTCCTGCTCAGGGGCAGCCCTGAGACTAGAACCCAGGTTTCTATCTTTTGCTCAGTGCTCTATCAAAGAGATTCTTTAACCCTAGAAATCAAAGAAACTAGCAGCCTTACAAAGCAACTATTCAGGGTAGTACAGCAGTGTCCTAGACATCCCAATGGTTAGCATTTAGGTTCTAATACCATTGTTCGATGACTTTTTTAAGTTGAAGTATAGCTGATTTACAGTTCAGCTGTGTACAGCAGAGTGATTCAGTTATACATGTATGTATTCTTTTTCAGATTCTTTTCCATTATATGTTATTACAAGATACTGAATACAGTTCCCCATGCTCTATAGTAGGTCCTTACTGTTTATCTATTTTATATGTAGTCATATGCATTTGTTAATCAGTGATTCTTGCACAGCAGTTAATGATGTGAGCATCAAGGACAACCACTTGACAAGATGCCACAAAACCCTCCACAGGAAAAAAGAAACATATCAGGGCTGAACAATTTGCTGGCAGATCTGTTTTAATAGGAAAGGAGAGATGGGAGTCTTTAAATGACACTGGGCAGATCACGCACAAGAGTGGGGGTGAAAGGAAAGTAACCTAATGGATAAGGAAGGCACAGGAGCCACATACACTGGACAGGTTTCCAGTAAGGAAGTTTTTGTCCACATCTTCCACATTCATGATGAAGGACATAGAATCTGAAATGATACCTGCAGAGTCACATGGGCAGTGTCTAAGTAGTGAGTATTGGCGCTAATGCGTTTTTGAAACCTCGCACTATGATAAATATCTAAGCACTATTTTTAAAATTAATAAGCAGCATTCATGGCCAGGGGACTGAGGAGCACTGTGCTCGGCCCACGTTACTCCTCAGGACATGGGAGCCCAGGGCGTGGCACCTACGCTGACCATCTGGTGGGGCTCAGGTGTCAGCCGACAGATCATTACAATTACCAGTGTATTATGTGATCTAACGAGATAATTACAACTTGATTTGATAGTTAAGATTTTCTCCATGTGGCTAGACTGATAGAAGCAGAGTTTACCTGACCTGAAGAGTCTGCCTCAGAAGTTGCATCTTTGATAGGAGAGAAGAGCGGGTTATGGAGGAGCGTGAGAGGGGAGGTTAGTGTCATGATGTTAAGGACAGGATGGGGAAAAGGAAGAAACTGCCCGGGGAAAACGGAGAACCACTTCACAGCTGTCTATCACCTCTTCTCAGAGCCCACAAAGGCTGATCATTTACTTAGATACTTTTATAATTCTTCCTAAAGTGGATACGATTTTTTAAAAATTGCTTTCCTTCCTGTTTCTCCCTGGGGTAAATAGCAAAAGCAATGAAAGAACCTGTCTCTTTTAATGTTTCTTAAAGCCCTGCCCACAAAGTAACCTACAGCACTCTTAACCGTGCAAAGTCTCTGATGTAATTCTGTGGACCATACACAGGACATTAATGTGGGAACTTGCTAACTGTTGTCAAGTGCTTTTACAGCATAAAAGCACTTTCCGAGCCCAAGTGAATGAATGATTAATTCATAGAAGCCTTCAGTGAGCTATGGAAGTCCTGAGCCTTATTCCTGCTGTTGTCATTATCTTTCTTATTTCACAGTTGGACACACTAAAATGCAGGACAGTTAAGTGCTTTTACTCAAGGTCACTGAGGAAGCCAGCGGGGCAACTGGACAGGAGAGCTCCAGGCAGAAGCATGGTCCTTTTCTACTAAAAATGGAGAGGTTACTCTTTTGTCTGCTAAAAACCAAGCCCGAAAGGCACTGTGAAGGGTTTGAGAATTGAGGACTCTCTAGTCCATCTCTATGTGTTTCTTGAATCATGTCAGAGGAGCACATAGTTAAGGCCCAAATTGACTGATGGTCCAACGTAATCATTTTTAAGAATTTTGGGAAGACTTTCCAGAGGGGCCCTTTTTGTCTGTAAGATCATTTCCAGAAGTTTCCAAGACAGTATGCTTAGTTTCTGAGAAGGAGCTCTAGTTTCACCTGCCAGCGAGTTAACGACTTCCCTTCCTTCGGATGGAAGGGTAAATGTGCCTCCTGGAGCTGAGTGCTGATCCCTGTGATGGCGGCGGCTCCCTCAGAAGACGCAGACGTCGTACTGGGGTCTCTGCTGTGTGCTAAGGACCAGGGAAGGAATGAACAAGCACATTCGAACAACTTCTCATAATTTTTCATAAGCAGAGACACAACTTCAGCCTTTTCTTAAGGGCTGCCCACTTGTTTTAAATTAATGAAGCAGAGCAATCCAGCGAGGAGCTAAACTGTCTTCTCTTTTGAAATCAGACACCCTGATAGGTTAGCATTTCTTTCTATTCTATCAAACGGGCTCAGAATGACCTCTGCTTTTCAAGCTGGTGAGATTACACTTCCACTCGTAGTGACAGATTGCCGTGCCTCTCTTGCTGACAAATCTATCTTTAGAGTGGAGCCAAGACACCCTGACTGCCGTCTGCGCGTCGGCAGTGTTGCTCAGTGACCGCCTGGGGTGGTGCCGTTTGCACCCTGTGCCTGCTCCCCGGGGCGCCGGCATGGATTTGCATGTATATGACCATCTATAAGTGACAGCACGGGGCTGTATACATTTTTAAAACATTATGTTAGCCGGTAAGGTCTATACTACTGTGACAGAGTCACTTCTATCCACACACAGCAACTGCATCGCTTTTCTGCAGAAACGGAAGCGGCATGAGAACAAACAGAAGTCCCTGCCCAGAGGGAGACGTAGTCAACGGTGCTGACCGAGCGCAGCCCAGGAGACCCGAGGGAGGCAAAGATACGGAACTTCTGGGTCCGTGTCCCACGAAGGATTCCAACCCCGCCTCTGTCGGATGCTTACGGTCTCATTGGAAAGGAGAATAAGATACGTAGTCGGTCCCCGCTGACCCTGAAATGCTGTATGGAGAGGGTCTGAGGGTCAGCCAGTCTCAGGTCCAGCCCTTCTGCTACCACGGACCCGAGGCACTCTGGCCAAGAGCCTTTGTTTTCTTGCCAGTGAAGTTATCATGATGTCGTAGAGGGTTGTTGTCAGGATTAGAGACCTTGTTTGAAGAGTGCCTACCACAGCCTAGACCTTTGTAAAAGATCAGTAAAAGCCAACTGTTATTATTACTAACAACAGTAATGGCACAAGCCAGTGTGTTCTCAACACCAAATTAGAGACACAGGTGTAAATGGTGTAGGGGGTCAAAACAAATTAAATTTCTTTCACTAGAGTGTCTAGATTTTGTGAAGCTGGGCTTATTGGTCCGTTTCCTTTAATTCTATCCTGATTTCTTTTGTTCCCTGAAAATGAACTGAATTTCATCAGTGCCTTCATATTAGCTACCTCTGGGTTATTTGCAGTGGCAAAAGCCAATGAACACAGAAATAATTGAAATTCCAAGGTAGAGCATCAAGAAATCCTATTTTAGTCTACTTTCTAGTCTTGTCTTGCATTTACTAGAATTCTTCCAGAAACTGACCAGGTAGCAAAGTGGACTGGTTTTCATCTTTCTTTCCCTGTTTCTTTCCCGTTGTCCCATGGGGCTGCTAATGAAATGAATGAAAGATGGCTATCAGGTGAGACAAGCGCAGAGTTTCCTTCAATCATTTATAAATTAGATGATTAATGATGAAATACCTGAAAAATAGCCAAGCCCACTTCTCTGAATCTGATACACAGATACAATTTTCAGAAAGAATTAAAATGCCTGTGAAGCGTTGTTCAGTTAGAAAGTGATGGTGTTGATAATTCAAAGTATGAGACGTGATTTGCCAAAACCCTTCCTGTTTGCGCTTTGCATGCAATATGATTTTTCCTGCTGATTTGTCTTCCTTGATATTTTGCTTAATCTGGTATTAAATGTAGTTGGTATTCCCTGAGCCGTAGCTGACTGATGAGGGGAGAGTGACCCTGATGGCTGGGAGGTGTCAGCAGAGACCTTTCTGGAATTGTAAATCAGCCTTGGAAAATCCACAGGCTTACACATGGATTATTGTGAATTGACTCTAGATGAAAACTGCCAGGTTTGATCATTTGTTTTCATCACTGTAAATATCAGTAAGTTCTCTCTTGCTATGCAAGGAATTGGGGGTGGGGAGTCCCATCAGTCATTCTGAAGGTTAGGGTGACGGCAGGCAGTCACACATACAAATCTCTAGCGAACTCGCCTGCCACACACAGACCTGCGTCTCTTGTTTTGAGATTCATCCCCACCCTCAAGTGAGAACTACTGCTGATACAGTGAAAGATATTCCTGAAAGTAGTTCATTGCAAGAGTGGATGAGGTGAAGGCTGATATTTAAAAACCTCATAACTGGCTGTACCCTCCTTCAAGGATGCTAGAATCTTTTAGAGGAAATTCATGTTAATTGGAAAGAATCCAAGGAGGAAAAGAAATCATCTCAGTACGTGAAAGGAGTGGGGAAAAGAATAAAAGGAAAGGGAAGACAAGAGAGGAAGGAGGGGTGTGAATTTTACACCAGTGACTGATATTCCACAAGAGAATCAACCCGGTTTATAATTCAGGATCCTGTGTTCATTGATGAAATGACTTGTTGGACCAGCCAAGGTTCATTAAATTGTCTTGTAACGGCAGCACGCTAAAGCAAAATTTAAAAAAACCACCTTTGGAAAGTAGAGCTGAAAAGTCCCTGTGTAAGTGTACTCCCTTAAACTGAGAAAAATAACATAGTATTTATTCAACTAAGAAGATACCTAAGAATTCTCATGGCTGTGATCAGGGTTATCCTTCTTCCTTATGGAACGCCAGATTTGAAACTACCTTAAACTTCTCATGAATGGTAAGGGCAGACTGGGCTCAGTGTGTCTCATGCTGTTCTCTTTCGTGGCAGGACTAGAGCGACAGGTACTCACAAGTGATGGCTGCGTATCTTTGGCTACTTCCTGTTTCTCAGTCAATAAGCTTCTTCCATTGGCCTCTCCATCTTCTTCCTCTCCATGTTGATTTTTGGTGCTTTTGTAAAATCCCACATGGGGTCCACATGGATTCTGAAATCCATGAAGAAGACTGCATCAGCATTTCAAAAAATTAAAAGGAAACAGAACCTATATCAATAAGCTGTGTATTTCATGACATCATGAAATGCTTTTGCCTGAGGCAGAATTGGATGGGAAGCAGCAGCATGTAGTTTTGTTAAAAAATTGTGATCAGGTAGACAGGAGTTTGGGATAATCTAGACCTGTTGTTCTTGTGTATGTGACATTTTTATGTTAGACTTGAGTTAGGGGCAAAGAAAAGTTCCACTTTCTGGTTGAGTTCTAGAGTCACAATATGGATACCATTTCCTGAGCCCTTGCCCCAGACACAATGCCTAGGAAGCAATAGCCAAGAAGGGGCACATTTTTGACAGCTGGAAAGCTGAAACAGGGCAGAGATTGTGCTACAAAATTTGTTTTCTCTTTTTAATGTGTGTTCAAATAAATCCCCTGCTGAAGCTCTTCATTCTCTTCCAAGTACCACTACTTTGCCAGCTTTCACACAGTTAAATTTTCTACATTTGCTGTCTTTAGTTTCTCCTCTTTTCTTTTCTTTCCTCATCCTGCTCCAGTGGGTCTGCCTTCTCCGTCATGCTGCTAAAACTGCCATTGTTCGGGTTACCTGTGACCTTAATGTTGCAAATCCAGTGGCTAATTCTTTGTCTCAACTTTTACTAAATCGCTGTGCAGCATCTGACATGTTGAACATCTCCCCTTCTTGAAATAGTCTTTTGGCTCATCTTCCAAGATATTATGGCCTCTTCATCTTCCAACTCACCAATTATTTTTCTCATCTTCCTCTGCTTGACCTGTTAGTTTGGACA